ATGTTTATTTTTTAACACATTTTTATTTATCTGTTTGTCTGTTTATTGTACTGCTCTGTATTTACTGTGTCGAGCACATATCTGCAATGTTAATACATATACGAGTTTGTAAATAAAGTTGTAAAAGAACAGATGTTTTAGCACTGACCCCTTTAACTGTGTAACATTTACACAATGCATTCAATGTACAATGGTATCGTCTCAGTGTAACCCCGTTACTCTCGTTTTCTCCCATCATATAATCACTGTTTACACAACAAGGCTTTATACTGACACCTACACATTGGGGTGTATGTATGCATGAAGAAGAGTTTGATGAAGAGCAACAATCCAGACATTAGTAATTATTTGTCATGAATGAATGTATCCAGGCCGACAGGAGCTCTGGTGTGATGTAGGGTTTATTTTTCTGCAGATATGACGCCCCTCATTTCAACACTTTGTATTTCGAATGGGCCTGTTTAGCTTATATTGAAAAAACTGACAGTAAGTGTAGTAAGGGTCTCAATGCCAGAGGGTGGCAGTGTATGATTGTTAGTTTTACACTGGTGTAAAATGTGTGGGAGGATGGTTGGTTAGACCACTCTACAACTATATGATAATAGCCATGATGGCGATGTATCCTTTTCAGATGTTCAGTCCCAGGGATGCTACACCAGGCTTTTTGAAATACAATATTGTCCCTGGCCTGAAAACACACTGCACCATCACAGTATTTATTTTTTTCAGCAAAAATGAAAAAATGTAAGAGACACATATGATATTCGCTGAATGTCTCTACTCAAAAACTATGAGACCTGTGCACCTCCTATGAGGGAAAGATAGATTACTCTATAGAAAATTACTACCTTTGAGGCAGGCGATCAATAATGACTAGGACTTGTGCCCAAAGCCTTGGTTTTATTGAGTTAAAGCATGCAACATTTGTCTCTGTCAGCTTTATAGTGTTCAAACTGAACAAAAGAGCAACTTTTACATTCGAGCAGAAGCTGACGCTGCTTATGTTGACACAACATACATCCACTGTGTGAATTATGCATCAAGTCGCCCTCGCAGCTTTAATTTGAGTCATTATTAAACCAAGACAAGAACCAAACGTACGGAAGCAAAGATAAATATCAAAGGTTGCGATGTGCCTGTGGATTCTGACCATGACAAATTGCCTTGTAATGAATACATCTGTGGCTGTGTTAAAGTTTTTGCATAAGCTTAGGCAAATACAGATTTCTACACAATTAAATATGGAAAATTATGGTCTGTGTGGGGTATTATACGTATTTACTTACAGATGAAGCAAAATAAAAAGCTGGTCATTTATTTTTATGCAGGTGAAATTTCCCCTGAGATTTGGGCAATGCAGTATATGTTTAATGTAGTGACAGCAATGGTTATTGTTTGAATAACAATAATGGACAATAATGGTAATAATGGAAATCATGTTTATGATATTAAAATTGGGAAAAAAATTTGATTACTAATTACCAAGGTGATGTTATGCTTAAAACAACAAACTATACTAGTGGGGTCACCTTGCCGGCATCAAAATGTCAAAAACTGTTTGATACTGATAAAAAAGGGTAAAACAGTAGTAGAGGTCACATTTACCCATTTCAGGATTACTGATAATTGTTTATATTTGCTTTTAATTAGCCTCTCGATTTCTTGTGAAAGATTCCATAAATTGAAAAACCTGATATATTATTTAGTTTTACTGCCTTTCTTATTTAATAGCAATATAATGTACTGTCGCTACTATACATACTTACCTGAACTACACAAACTAGCATATAGTGCCAACGCCACATTAGCTTTTTATTTGACTTAATTTGAGTGATTTCACCAAAGAGAGTTCAGTGTCCTCTTCATGACACTCTGTGGATTAAATATGAAATTCCATGTTTTCCCATTCTTGGTGACTCTTATATATTGTTCATTGTAAAATTAACACTCAGAATATTGTGGGCTCCTTATCGATATTGACATAAACACCACAGTTGCTTCAGATTGTTCTCTAGATCATGTTTAGCTTCCTCAGTGATAGAGATTTATTCAGGATGAGCTAATAGATTATGATGAAGGATTTTAATGAAATCATATCTGTGCAGGGATAAGAATTTTTCCTCTTGAAATTTAGATTTTAAGTTGATTCTGTCTTTTTCAAAGCATCTGCTGCTGTGAATTTAGAGTTGCTCATTTGTGTATAGGTCGATAGAAAGAGGGATTATTAGAGAAGTCTGAGCCGGCGCATAAAGGAACAAAGCATTAACATGAGCAATAGAGAAAATGCAAAGTAAACAGAGCGCACAGAAATGTTAGATTGGATCTCTCATCACCCCCAGGAGGGAGGAAGCAAACATCATGGGAGATGCGTGCATGTTCAAATTGTGTTGAGACGTCACCTTCCTAAACAGTTAACACTGTGCAACATGTTTGGATCTGCACTTTTAAATCATGAGGGGGCAGTTACATCCACTCAGTCACACATGCACATATATACACACACGATAATTGATTATTAATGTTTCAACACACTGAACTGCACTGTGCAACAGATTAACATGCTGTTAATTATGTAGGTATTTAATATTAATCATTAAGAGACAGCTTTTGTGGCCGATGATGAGAATTCTCTCAGCGTTCAACTGGCACATGTATCTGTGTGACAGAAGAAATAAAATACTGTGGCTGATTCATGAACATACAATACAATGTCCATCTTACAAAGTGTTTACGACCAAGGAACATGCATTTTAACCAAAAGCATGACTGAATATGTTTTTAAGTTTCTCATCAGAGGTTTAAATGTAAATTAAGAGTGCTTTTCTGTAGTGACTTAAATTTTCTTTATCCTATTGAGGAGGCTTATTTGTGTGATTGTACCAGCCTACTAATTCACTTATGTACAATGTTGTGCACCTAAACGTTCCATGTTCTCGAGGCTGCTGTTTGTCAAAAATGACATTTGGTTAAAATGTGTGATTATGGAGAAGACAAAAACCAATTCTTGTCTGCAAAACTCCCAGTAAAGACAAAAAGATTATTGGTTCGTTGGAAGTGACCATGTTCCTCACAATAGGAGTAGAATAAATTATAGAAACACCCTAGTGTAACACAAAACTACATCCTAAAATGACCACTCAATTCAATACCTTTCCGAGGCTGGTTCAACATAAATTGAACATAACCTTCAAAAGGTATTTGGATCTATGGCAGGACTATTGTGTCAGGCTGCTTAAAGTGACAACTGATGTAGCTTCTTCTTCATTTTATCTTTATTGTCACTGATAGGCAGATGCCAACACTACACCACGCTCACCTCTTTCACCTGCATAGATTAAGTACTGCCTTGGCTCACACCACTCACCATTTCCACATTCCCTACCTTCAAAATGATGTGAAGCAGCAGACGAGGTACTGTGGGAGCAGAAATTAAAATAGCTGTATAACATACCGATTCAATAGATTGGCCGGGGGCAATGTAGCTGCATGAGCCATCTCACTTCACCGCTATATCGATCGAGAGAACAGATCATCCCTTCATGTAAAGGACAAGAAAAGTAAAAAAGATAATATCGATTTCATGTCCAAAAGTTCAGACAGTGTGATTTATATAAGCTGCCCACGTGTGTGTTTATATAAGTGTTACTTTGGGCATGTTTTTTTTTTTTTATCAACCAAACAATCAGGCTGAATTTTAGTTGATTGTCGGTGTTAGACCTATAAAAAGGGCTGTGAAGTTTGTGTGCAGGATCCCTGTTGAGAAACAGTGGTTATATCTTGGAGGGGCCAGAATAAAATTAATAAAAGGAGCCATCTATCTCATATAAAGGGCAGCTGGGCTGTGGCATTTTATGGTTTTTGTTTTCTGCATTCTCCATTGTCCTGCATGAATATTTTCTAGATAATTAGAATAAACCCACAATAAAATGATAAATGTCTCCTTGAAGCTACCTGACAGTTATCTAACACAGATCAAAGTCACAACAGTGCAAATAATACTTTTATTCAATATAAATATTCTTGAACAATGAGACAATGTGAAACTTAATCTTCAAAATCAATTGAAAATAAATCCCATTTACATTGTATTGCAAATGGCACATGAGCTGCAGAAGTATTAGTGATACAGTCACAGAGAATTACAATCATGATGAGCAGGAGACTGTTTATTCTGTTGTCTGATTTATTTTAACAGTGGAGCTCAGGTTGTTCATGCGTGCCACACTTTTCTCCTCCTGTATCACTTTCTGCTTTGGATGTAGCTTTCTAAAATCTTCATCAACAAGTCCGCCTCCTGAAAATAACACATCAAATTACTCACAATCACCTCTTCAGTCCGTTTTACTGTGATCTTTTCTCTTTAAAAGTTTAGACATTGGTGACACTCGCCTGGTTTTTCGAGCGGCTCTCTTGCGTGTCCACCTGCGTTTGTATCGCCACCCGCAGAAACTCTTGGAAAAGCTCCTCGAGCGCGTTCTGCTCCCCCGGGAGGGAGACTTCCAGCGCATCCCGCCCCTCCGCTGAAGGCATCAGGGGGGCATCCACCACGCTCTTCTTCCCCATGAAGTGTCCTGCCAAGTCAGAGAAAACGCTCATTAGAAGTGGCTATGAATTCTGTGAGGAGTGAGGGTGGAAAAAAAAAACTCTTTTGGTGACCTGGCACATGCATCAACACATTAAGTTCACGTTACACATCAATGTAACATGCCACTGTAAACATGAACTCCCTGTAGCCTATATAGAGAACATGTAAAATGAGATGTCATCCAATACAAATAAAAGACAGTTCTCCACAGTGAATTCGATTGTGGGATGGTTCTTACCTGTAGCCCACAGATTGCCTCTTGGATTCACTTTAATTTTTGCTACTTTATTCCTAAGCTCAGTCAGGTCGAAACTGACTGCAGCGGTAAAAGACATGAAGGAAAAAAGGACCAGATAAGTAAATAAGCCACACTGGCAAACGTTATTCAGCGTGAACCCCCTCATCTCAGCGCGTAAAGTGGCAAACTGATCCTTCTCCGAGAGTCTCCTCCTGTTAGTTATGCATTGCTCAGTCGCATCATGCTTTTATACATGCTCTCCTGGCTGGGGTGGGCTCTCCTTACGTTGCGTGTCATTTTTATTCAGCCTGCAGCAAAAAAACAGAAATGTTGTCAGTCGAGGCGTTGTCAAGTTTCGTGAGAGCGAGTCTCTGGCTGTGCGTCTTTTACGCACAGCACGATTCAGCTCCAGCTCTATAGAAGATGGACAGATAGGGATGTATGCTCATAAAACTCTACTCTACCATTATCAGCAATACACCTCAGCAAGAGTTTAATTCAGTTTGGGGTTAATTCATTGAGGTTTAATTATTTTTCTCCATTTTTAGGTGATGGCTGAACCCTGATGGTACCTACACATACAGCAGTATATCCGTATCATTTTCCTCAGATACATTCAATACATCCAGGGGCTCATTCTAAATATATGAACTATTGCACAACACACAACCATCCATAAAACCAACCTTAAATTAGCAAAAACAACAATTTCTCACAGCCTGTGCATTGTTGGTGTAAATTGTTCTGTCAGATGATGGCACAGGTGCTTGCTAATGCTTCCCTCCAGAGCAACACATATAGTCATTTCCTGCCCATGCCCCCACATCCTCCCACTTTCAGGGCCAGGCCTGGCTGCTCACAATAAGCAACATGACATTTGGCCAGTTGCAGCATGCCGCTGTGATCACCATCAGTCCTCTGAGGACAAGAACCTGCTGATTCTCACTGCTAATTTAGAGCTGATAAGAAAGACGGCCTCTGTGTCACTTCAGGGTGCTAAATTGCAAGTTTATAGGAGGAGCTGCAGCTCACGTCTTGCTCTTTTCATAACCTTTCGCATTCACACACACACACCATACCTGTGAATTTGAGCATTCTACATGTTTGAGTGTCGGGTCCAATTAGAAGAGTGTCTGACCATCACGGCTTCATTCTCACTAAATTTCACATGTTAGATGAAGTGAGACAGCCGTGCTTCTATGAAACACTGCACTCTTCCTAAGAGATGTGATGGATATTTGCATCACTGGCTCAGTCCAGCTCATTTACAGCTCAAAGAGTGAAATTAATTCCAGGCCTAAGTGGCTTGAGACTACGGCCTATATTTTCTCTGTTCTCCCATGGCCTCAAATGAAAAGTTGACTATGCAAAGCTAATTCCCCTAGTAACGCATTTGGATGTCAAACTGTAGTGAGGATTTTGAAGATTTAAGTTTGGTGGAGGAGGTTTGTCCATGCAGCATAATGTGCTGCAGAAAATGAAAGCAGTAGTAAGCCCCACTTAAGTTCCATAAAAGGGAAGGTCCTTGAGATCCAACAGAACTGAGCCCCGACACAATCAAACTCAAAGATCAACAACCTCAATAGATTCACGTGGACCCATATAAGAGTCCATATCAACTAGTGTGTGATTACCTGCTGTTGGTGTTGAATGGCCCAGGTAGATTTCACCTTGATTGCAGTAACACATAAGTGTGCTCACAGGATGTAAACATAGAGAGGTTAATGCTCATAGGAGGTCTGCACTCATGACCAGTCGACCCCTCTTAAAGAGAGGCAGAGCCTGAGCCCCTCTCCACTGACCTCTGTGTATGAAAATAATCAAACTAGCTCTTACACCATTTCATTTAAAAGAACGTGAGCAACAAATTATTCCTGGCACACGTCTGTTAACTGACCCTAATCTGTCTGCGGTCAATGTGTATGGTTTCATGGAATATTTAAATAGCCACTCATAAATTAGATTTACAAATTCACTATAAAACAATATATTGCTGTTGTAAAGATTCATTTTCGATTTCTTTAAAGAGCAACAGGAAAAAAACGGATAAAACAAGTTATCCTGCAAAGAACCTCAATAATGTTCATAGAAGAGAAATGGAATATAATTACATGTGAAAATTGAAAGATTTTCATTCTGTATATTAACAAAAGTAATGTAAAAAGATGTAGCTACAATAAATTAAATACAACTTTTGACACATTTTCAGTTCAAGAGAAATGGAGACAAGGAGTAGAAATAATCAAATGTGGATGGTAACCAGATTTCATATTTACTATCATTCAAATTCAGTTCTCATAAAATACTTCACACATTTTTTCCAAAGGATTCAACAGGAAAGACCAGACTTATTTCACCTTTAAGAATGCTGTTTCCCATTCTGAGGATTTACAAATAAAGATCAAACTTTTTCAAACTTCAAACTAAATCTAGCCTCATTCCCTCACAAAAATATTTTTAAAGCTTGGCTCCTTTTTTTTTTTCAAATGTAAACACCCTATCCACAATTCTACAAAATGTTCAAACAAATGGTACAAAAAAGCCAGTTGGGTTTGACAAAGTTGTAACTAAATTCTGTTTTGAAAGGCATGACTGAGGTTTCCTGGACGTAGTTTATCCTTCTTGAGTCCTGAAGTTTGGGTTCCTCACTCCCGATGGACCAGCACGAAGAGACCCAGCAAAAAGAGGACAGCGTACTGCAAAATCAAAACAAAGAGAGGTTAGAATCACACAGAAAACATTAACACTACAGAGCCAAGCAGATCCTGTTTCAGACTTACTTTGAACCTTGGGTAGTCGTTCATGAGGATGGTGACAATCCCAATGTATGGCACAAACCTGGAGACGACACAAAGATCACAGTCAAGAAATCTCATTGAAACATAACATAACATAGTCAGGTTGATGAAAATTCTACAGAAACGCAAGCAATGAGGAAGCTGCTCCATATCTATCTGGATCAATTTTTCTTTATATGTGATCTATAATATTTTTATACTGTAATTTTGCTGTTGTGATCGATTCACACAAGAGATCCACAAAAATGTTGCTGTTCCTGAGATGTATTGATTTTTTATCCATCCTTTCATTCTGCTCTTCTGCATCGAAGGTGGAGGGTGTAAACTGTAAACTCCCTTGAGGCAATGTTGTGATTTGAGATACTCATACGTGTAAAGATTGTTTTTAAAAGGTTAAAAAAAATTGAATGGCGTAACATATGAGACCAGACATCTCAGACAGCTGATATTAAAGTGGTTTAAGCAGTAAAACTAGAAATAAAGATTTAACTAAAATCCATAGAAAACAGTCCAGAGATGCAACTATTAGTTTATAAATGTATAAGTTGAGCCACAGAAAATGTATGGGCAACCAGAGTGACACTAAGAAGAGAGCATACCTCCAGCCAACAGATTATTATAACACCTTTACATTCCCTAGATCCAGCTTTTTATTTTAATCTGCACACCCTATTCCACAATATTAAAATTCCAATTCTGATCCAGGTCTTTACCAAAATGTAAGGAAACCTGTTGAGCTGTTCTGCGTAATGTTGCTAAACAACAAACACATGAAAACATAAGTAGATGTATTTTTGAACGTGTAGTCAAATAAAACAAGTAAAGAAGAAGATAGAGAATCAACAATTAAACCGGCCCTACAGCCCCTGTAATGAAATGAAAATCTGAGGCTCCCAAATATACACTTAAGTGCTCAGTGTCCTTTTCGTCCTTCTCACACATAAGGACAAGTACAATAAAGAGGATGAACTACTCCAGTCACATCTTGTTCAGTGTAAATGAACTAGCAAAATATAAAACCAACCATAATCCCCGAATCACAAACAGAGGAGATGAGAAATTACTTCTTTTTTAGGTGACCTTGACAGATAGTCCATGACCATCAGTCAACACCATTAAAGTATACAAATACTGCTGTTAATGTGTCAACACATACTGTTGTAAATAAAGATTTTCAGAATATAATACATAGTCTCTGAACTCCCTAGATTGTAATTTTCCAGTTATGAGTCTGAAACAGTTCAATTATATTTGTTACAAAATATGTTATCTGTATTGAATATGCTAATATAGAACTTACCCCCTAGCTCGTCCCACCACATCTTTTTTCTCCAGCCAGTGTTGGCCCTGCTTGTACAGGCCTCTGTCATCCACTGCATTGTTGTCGCCTTTGGTCAAGAACTTAATGTCTCCATTTTCCCTGTGAAGTATCAACATCATTTTAGACCACAACCTATACGTACACATCTTTGTGTGGATGAAGTAATATAATTACTGTGAAATATCTCACAGGCAACCCTGAGTATTTTATTTAAATGTCATTAATGGTATTCTCTGGTTTGATACACACGTATGGGACTGATAATCATGGACAATAATAACAAGTTCAGTCATACTTTTCATGGATCTTTAGTACTCTGTGTACTATTGGGATCTCTCTGCCTTCTATCCTGAAGACTACGATCTCTCCAACTCTGATGGGATCTTCTACCCGGTTGGTCAGGAATAAAAGGTCTCCTCTGTGGAAAGCTGGCTCCATACTCCCACTGAAATTAAAGGTAAATACAAATTAGCAAAAATAGTTCAGAGACATTTAGATCATTCCAATATATTTATATGTCCACCTTTGATTAACAATATGTCATGCCAACCATGACATTAGTTTTACAGACATAGGAAACACACAATCTTAGCCCAATATCAAATGTTTCCAAACCCACAATGATGAATTAACAGCTACTTTTGGACAAAAAAGAAAACTGCATTAGAACATCGCTTGACGTCCCTGCCTACCAGTGGTTAAAATGGCATTATATTTATTTAATAATGTATATAAAGTAAAGGCAAAATGAATAAAATCCGACAAAATTAAATGTACATTTGAATAAAAAAAAAATACTTCAAGATCACGGAGTAAAAAAAAACATGACAGGATGTTACAAACCATAACATCCTGTGAAAAGCAGTTTCATCTCCCTCATTCTAACAGTAATGAGTAATTCATAGATCAACACTTGTTATGAGTTTATTGTCCCCATTCTAAAAAAAACATAAAGTAACAGAAATGAATGAGAGGATCTTGAAGTAGTGACATATCTTATTTAACAAAATTTTTGGTTTTCATGGTTGAGTAGTAGTATTTTCTGTTTATTATGTCTGTCAATACACACTCACGTAAAACTGT